ATTTTTATCTTAATTGTTTTAAATTTTCAACCAAGTTTCAAAAAAATTTGTTAGTGCCCGATCCGGTTAATTGAATCGAACCATCAACAATTAATTAATACAATCCACCGAAAACAATAATAAAAAAAAAAAAATTAATTAATACCAAGCTGTAATCGAATTTGTCGTGTAATTACAAAAGAAAAGAAAAATGTTGAACATGACGTCTGCAAAGAAGACGGAGGGGGTTGGGACTGAGGGAGTTCCCGCAATTTCCATTTGTTACCCCTCCCGGCTTCAACCCCGCTGACAAAACCAGCATCTTCAATCTTCATCAACACATTTCTCAATTTTTGACCTTTCCGTCTTTTGGACACTTGCTATTCCCCCCACTTTCCTGCCTTTTCCCTTATCCGTTCTTCGTTTCGGCGCAGGATCGATCCAACTTCTTCGATTCCTGGCGAACAAAGATGGCGTTGCGGTTCGATGCCAGAGATGTCTCTGGATTCAAGTTCCTCGTCTTCCTGGCGGCGATGTTCGGACTCATGTCGCTGCTTGCTTACTCCGTAATTCACATGAAGTTCGTTAAGCCGCTGGACATCGACGCTCCTCTGGACCGATTCTCCGAGGCCAGAGCCGTCGAGCACGTCCGCGTTTTATCACAGGATATCGACGGCCGGCAAGTGAGACAACATCGCGACTTTCTTATTTACTTTTATTTTTTTTACTTCTTGCGACGGAGGTTGTGATAATTTCATAGCGAACAAATTTTCTGTGCTGTTTTTACGAGATTTTTTTTTTTTAATTAGTTTCTTGTTGGTTAAGGATGGTTGTGCACAATTGAATATGTGATCAGGATGCAGTTCCTTTCCTTTTAATTTGACAGAGAAGTTCAGTGTAATTATAATACTTCGTACAAAGGAGAGAAAGTGTGTAATTTAGTATTGCCTTTTAATAGGAAGGGCGTCCAGGATTGAGAGAGGCAGCTCAGTACATCAAAGGGCAGTTGGAAACGATGAAGGAAAGAGCTGGATCCAATGTTAGGTTGGTATGCAGTTGGTCATGATTAATTCTTCAAATTCTGTACGGGTTATTGTTGTGGAGCCATGTGGTTGAAGTTTTAAATGATATGTTATCTGGAAATGTTGGTGCTTTGTGTTATTTTGACTTTGAGACTTTGAGCATTAGCTAAATTGCAATTCCCCCTATTAAAAATAACTGGCATAATTATTTGATTTGCAGAATTGAGATTGAAGAGAATGTTGTTGGTGGCTCCTTCAATATGATGTTTTTAGGCCACAGCATATCATTGGGGTACAGGAATCATACAAATATTGTAATGAGGTTAGTTATTCCCATCGTTTAAGGGAGGATTGAGAACCATC